GGGGGGGTGTTTCCCGTTGGGACCGGCACCCAGATGTTGAACGCTTTCATCACCCCCACATCCAGTAGCCTTATAGAGTAGGAGAAAGGGAAGGCCGGGGAATTTACTTAAATAGCACTAAAATCAAATGACTTTCCCTAAATAGCATTACATGTACTTTTTTTCAATGTAGCACTTTTAGTCATTATTCAAGTAAATGTTCACGTCACTGGACATCATGGACCTTATTAAGTGCTATTTAGAGAAAAAAACGGCTTAAGTGTTATTTAGGGAAATGACTTAAGTTTTAGTGCTATTTAGGGCAAATAGTTCTATATATAATTTTTGAAAAATACAAATGGTATTCTAATTTTGAGACCATCACCATTCATACATTTACATACATCGCCCAATATTATTGGGTGTCTGAGAATGTCTATCAAATTTGTCGTATCAATGTTGGGTTACAGGGTTACACAAAGCTTAATTCATTACGGAGCGAGTGTTTTTCTTCCCTCTTTGTAAAGCAAAAATTAGTGTGAGAAGGGTAGAGACTTCAGAACAAACTCCAATCATTAAAGTGAAGGGTCCTAATAAATACTCCCCGTTCTTGAAAACACTTTTCAATTTGACCAATTGCCAAAATAAAGAAGTACAGAGCATCTAATTAAAGTTGATTTCCAGTTTTATTTTTAATGTGATGGATAAATTATTAGAGAAAAAAATATGATATGATAAGTAGGATAAATAAAAGTAGAGGTAAAAATAATTTCTTAATAGAAAATAAAAGTGTTTTAGTAGAAGAGAAAAAAATAAAAGATGAAATATTTTTCCAAATAGAGAGTACTAAAAGAGAGGGGCCAAATAGCTCCGGTACCCCCTGTGGTTTGGAAAATTGGCACCAATACCCCCTCTGTTTTCAAAACTTATTTCTAAAGTCCCCGTGGTTTCAAAACGTTGCACCCACACCCCCTCTGATCATTTTCCAGCCATTTTCCGGCGAAAAGGGGGCATTGGCGCATAATTTTTAAACTATAAGCGTATTCGTGTTCATTTCTTATTTTCGTTTATTATTATTCTTCCCTTTTTCTTTAAATATTTTCTATCTCTTTTTTCTTTTCCTAGATTTTTTTAAATATATTTTCAATTTTTTTATAATGTTTCAAAAATTTTCAAATTCTGTGTTTGAAATGAAAATAAAAATAAAAAAATTAACATATATTACATCTATCTCAAATTAAACATTTTCACTCTTTGTTACTTAGAATAATTTTTTGGAAAGTTTAAAAAAACAAAGAATTAAAAAAAATATGGAAAAAACGAAATGAAAAAAATTAAAATACACAAAAAAAGTCTTATACAAAAAAACTGGACACGCCTAAAAAAGTCCATAGAATTAAGATGTCCAAAAAGGATGTTCATTTTTATTTTTGTATTAATTTGTTTCTTATTTTATTCCTCATTTTTTTGAAGTTCTTAAAAAAATTACTTTTTTTCAGAAAAAAATTGTTAATTTGAGAAATTATTTTTTTAAAAAAAACCTTTATTAATAAATGAAACAAAAAAAGGAAAAAATGGAAAAAAAACAAAAAATATGCGAGAAATAAAAATCAGCACTAATACCCCCTATGGTTTAAAAAATATGCACCAATGCCCCCCTCTTCGCTGGAAAAATGGCCGGAAAATTATCAAAGGGGGCATAGGTGCAATATTTTGAAACCACGGAGATTTTAGAAATAAGTTTTGAAAACAGAGGGGTATTGGTGCTTATTTTACAAACCACGAGGGGTATCAGTGCTATTTGGCCAAAAGAGAGCTATTTGGCCAAAAGAGAGGAGAGACTAGGTATTGAATATTTAATAAATTAATTTTACCAGCTCACCCACCAAAATTAATACTTCACCGACCCAGCCAACAACTCTGGAACCACACGCCCTTTGCTTTTTTTTGGTGCAAAAGAACGAAGTCTGACTAGTTAGGAATCCACATTTCGATTGAAAAAGAACATTAATTTTTGAGCAATGTTAGAGGTACACCTTTCTTCACCTCAAATGCACACCACCCCTTTCTCCACCATATATTTTTATTTTATTTTTATTTATTCATTTTTTTAAAAAAATTTTTTGTTTTTTTTGTGGATAAGGAAGGGGTGGGAGACAAATGGAGTACACATTTGGTGTACCCCTAGCATTTTTCTTAATTTTTAAAACGACGTACCAATTACTAAAGTGTCCAAATCAAAAATAAAAAAAGTTTGTCTTTTCTTTTCTAAGCCGGTCCAACTTTATTTGTTTGGTAGTACTATTAATAGCTATGCCTATAGGCCTTGTTTGTCGTCTTGTGGGCTGGTGGAGGGTGTGGCTAACCAGCGCGAGAGTTGTTTTTGATTGTATAGTAACAACTTCCGGTCAGGGAGCACTCAACGGGGTTTACCTCATGCAACCCAACACACTACTTCGAGCTATATAAAACTATCTCCCTCCGTTCTTAAAAATACTTTCTCTTTCATTTTTTCTACTTTAAATAAAACACTTCTACTTTATATTAAAAAACAACTTTTACCCTTACTTTATCACACTCTATCTACCACATCATAATTTTTTTCTAATAATCTATCCATCACATCTTACTTTTACCCGGCCATCACATCAAGGGCAAAATTTAATGTCAATTACAATTTAACACTTTTTTATTTTTACACTCGGTTAAAATAGGAACTTTTTTTAGAACGGAGAGAGTAGAACGTAATCCATCTATACCCAAAAAAAATTGTTAGATTATTATAAAATTATATTGAAACAGAATTATATTGAAAAAAGACTGAGAATGAAAATAATATATATAGTGAGAATCTTGGATTTGCTTGGATAATAAAGGTCTTGTTTGGGAATGACTTTTTCCATTATCGTTAATATTTTAGATAAAATTTTAATATTGTAAATTAATTCTCAAAACAATAACGCTAAAAGCTACAGTCATATATGCCTCGTTTGGCATCAGCGTTATAAATTAGCGTTAACGTTTTGAAAAGGTTAATCGAAAACATTGTTCCAAAACAAGGTCATAATCTTTTAAAAATGTTAATGCTAACCTTTAACATTGATGCCAAACGGGGCCAAAAACAGTTAAACGAATATATGATTCAAAACACTGTAGTCCAACGGTATCAAGGTGACGCTTCCAAATGTGAGGTCATAGGGTCGAATCTCAATACAGGCTATAACTTTACAAGCTTTACTAAAACTAGAATGTATGAACAGATACTACATTTAATAAAGTTACTCCTTCTGTCCATAAAAGATTGCCACAGTTTAAATTTTATAATTAAACTATGACACTCTTTTACCATGAATTAAATATAGTTTAAAATAATTAAATATTATAAAACTTTGATATTTCAAAACTATATTTTAAAATAAACCCAATTTTACTAAATTTACATCATAACTAAATATACTTTATCCATAATTCGTGGTCAAAAGATGCCACATTTGGATCAAAGAAGTCAAACTGTAACAATCTTTTAGGGGCGGATAGAGTATTAGTGTTTAAAGAAAAGGAATAAATCTTATGAGTCATATTTTATTACAATAAGGTAATATTTGGTAACTATCGTTTCATTTCAATTTTTGAATTTCAAATGACGAGAGGAAATATATAGATTGTAATTGAGTTTTGTTATGATTAAAAAAATTACCTCAAATCAAAATTATGAAGATTTTCAAATGTGTAATTTGAGTCAACTCCAAATTTGAAATCAAAATTCAAGTTTCCAAAGAAGCATTTTTTGGTACAGAAAGAATATTGTGAGTCATAAATACATTTTCTTAACATGAACTTATATATTGAGGTCCAAACTTTATTTTTGATATTTTAAAAATGGAAAATGTTACTCTTATTTTGGGAGGAGGTATTTCAACAATAAAACCCAATTGAATCCCACAATTCTAGTTGTAGGTTTGGAAGGATATGTGTATGCAAACCTTACTCGTACTCCAAAGGAGACAGATTTTTTTTCAAAGATACTCCCGCTCAAGCGCCACAAATGATCACTTATTTGTATGTTTAGCTAAATTTAAAATAAATAGCTTATTCACGGTAGTAATTTTTATAAAAAGATGCTTGAAAGTAAAGATGGTTTGATGAAAGAATAAAGTATGTATTGATAGAAAGATGGAAAGAGGACTGACCTCAAGCACGTGAAGAGGAGGGGAAGGAGGAGGATTATCAGGGGAGGAGGACGAGGAGTCGTTAGGGCGGTGGCGGTGGCGGTGAACCCACGCCCTCTCCTCGTCCTCCCCTTCCTCGCCTACCTTACTCCTCTTGGCCGCCTTCGAATTCGAGCAGCTCATTCCGGCCGCATCCTCGTCGAATTCAAACTCAAACTCAAACACGCCATTGTAGTTGTTGTTGTTATTGTTCCCATTTGCATTATTCCTGCAGATGGAGGAGGATTCCAGGTCCCATATCTCCGCCTGAATCGCCCTCTCCTGTTCGCGCAGCTCCTGGATGTACTCGATCGCGTCTTTGATGATCGAAGCCTTGTCCATCTTCTCAAACCGAATCAGAAATTCAAAAACGCAAAATTCAAAATCAATCGATTGATGGTTAGGTAATGAAACGGATCTAGATTCAATTCGCCGGACCTTGGTGATTTTGGGAACGACGGCCCTGAGCGCGAACAGCCTCTCGTTGAGCTTCTTCCGCCGGTTCCTCTCCGACACTATGTTCTTCGACGCCGCCGATCCGTCCGGCGAGCTCGAATCGTAGTACGCCGCCGCCGCCGGAATCGCCTCCTCCAAGTACCTGCACCGAGGAATTCAATCAATCAATCCATTTCGCAAAACCGAATGAATCGAAATCAAATGGACATACCGGTCTAATTCCTCCGATTGGAGAAAGGTGTGAGTCTCCCAGTAGTGTTCATACTCCTCGCCGATGTTTTCCATGGCGATCCGCCGCCGCCGCCGGGAAGCAGAACAAACAATGCAGAGGGAGGCGGTAATATATATTGTGATGAGACTCTTCCACCTTTATTGTTGATGATTTTTCTGCAGCAGCAGCAGCAGCTATGTATACAGCGTATTAATGAATCCGTATCCGTATTTTATTGGAGAGATTGATACTGGTATATCAGAAATGTATTAAAAAAGGACTGGCGCCACTCACTTCAATTTACTACTACCCAGCACTATGAATTCTTTAATCTATTTATATTTACAAAAAAATGAACTCGGGGTTGGCGACTTGGCGTGGTTCGTGACGGTTCGGTAATTTTAAAGAACCCGTACTATATTGTTACTATTTAAACAGTTCGGTACAGTTTCATTTTAATGTCTAAACCCATTCGGTAGCGTTTCGTTCAGGAAGGGAATGATACATGTCATACTAATGTCAAATTATTTCATAATACTTGAATGCTTTGAAAATAATTTTATTTATAACAATGAACTGACGTAATTAAAAAAAATTGGCGCACAAATATTTTTATGCATTCTTAATTTCTTACTTCACAAGTGTATTGTTTGGTTACAATTTTTGAAAAAACTTAATCGTAGTTTGCATTTTCAACAAATGAAATTATAATTCGAGTTGTGCTTCGAGGTAATAAAGTATTATAAAAATATAAGTTTAAGTATGTGAAAGTCACACCAAATAAATATCACCTAAACTTACTAAAAATTAACAAATAAAAATGTATAATCAATTTATTAATTTAATATTTCTGTGGTAACGGTTCGGTATTTTCAGTATTTGTTTTTTGGAAACTCGTCCCTTACCATTTTGAAAATGGTTCTGTTCTGTTCAGTATATAATTTACAACAACCATTTGAAAACCTATTTTTCAGTTCGAAAGAATGTCAGATCGGTACTTTTGCACACCCTAAAATGAACAGCCAGCGTCTGAGAGTCCATCTGAACAAGCCGGACGATCACTTAATTAAAAAGAAGATAAATTGAATTTTTATCATACATTAATCGTAAAAAGTGGTACCTAAACACAAGGATCGTACTAAGTTAACAAGGATTATAGTAATGCACGATTGATCTAAGCGCAAGTAGCTGATTGTAGAGTTTATGTGCCCATGTGGTCAATTATATGATGATTATCTATTAATTTAATCATGAATAATAGGCCCTGATCATTATTTATACATCTTGTGTATCAAAGCATAGATTAAATCTATAGACTTAGCGCGCTGGTAGTATAAATTAGAACTAGGATGTCAAGAACATGTTACTAATATGGTAGTGATTGACCCGCCATGAGGTATTTATATGTGTATTATTTTAATGTGTTAGTATCATTCTCATTCAACTATTGGTGTAACTATTCATTCTCTTGAAACCATTACGATCTTTAATATGTAGACCTACACACACACACACACATATACTTTGATTAATTACTAATGTCATCTGAAATACTGGGTGACATAGTGTTCTATTTTGGACTCAATGATTGATGTAACTTCAGAAGCTTACGGTCATACTCACGTAAATGAATATATGTGATATTAATGTTATTTGAATTTCATAAGTCAGTCTAAGAACCAGTAAAACAATGTTTTAACTCTAACAAAATGGCATTTTCTGTTGAAATATTGGAATAATAATATTGATAGTGTATATATAGGAGAGACTTCTAACACAACTAGGAATAGAGAATAGAAACTAACTAACATACAACATCTGCCACAAATAGGATTAGGAAGCTGACTAATAATGAAACACTACCATAACCAATACTACAAGAAGTACTATTAATATTATTGTCTAACATCCCCCCTCAAGCTGAACTCTGGCTGAAGCAAGAGGAAGCTTGGACACTAGTTGCAAACAGGAAACTTTGAGAAGAGAGAAGTCTAACATGCACCGGTGGCTACTCACATCGTTGGAGAAGAGAGAAGTGTGACGCGCACTGGTGGCTGCTGACGTCGTTGGAGAAGAGAGAAATCTGACGCGCGCCGGTGGCTGCTAATGTCGTTGGAGAAGAGAGAAGCCTGACGTACGTGCACTGGTAGCTGCTAACGTCGTTGGAGAAGAGAGAAATTGACGTGCGCTAGTAGCTGCTGATATCGATGAAGATGAGAGAAGGTTGATGTGCGCTTGTAGCTGCTGACGTCGAAAAAGAATAGAGAAAGCTATTGTAGGTGCCTGTTTGATTGAAGATCTTTGACATTCTTTGTCTTTTTCTTGGATCCGGGCAATGCCCTATTTCTTTATTGAAGAGGTGTAGAGGTATTCTTTCCTCTTTCACTACTTCCCCTTTTGGCTTTGCTTTTGTGTTGTTTTGTTTGGATTTTTATTGGTTCAACAAAAAAGAAAGAGAATGAAGGTTGATAATTAGAATGGGTGATTTGAGAGAGAAAAAAAAGTGGGTTAAGAATTGGTGATGAAAAAAAGATATGGGTTTGAGATTTTGATATGGTGAATTTGAGAGAAACGACAATCATTTTTTTACTATTTTTTGAGAAGATAGGATGAGTTGAGAGAGTTTGTGAGGATTTGAGTTTTTTTTTAAAACCATGGAGATGACAAGAGAGAAATTCCTCCTTTGATGGTTTTTGTGTGTGATTTCAACAGGGATTTTTTCTTTTTTTTCTTTTCATTTGAATAGAGGAGTTGATTTGAGGATAAAAGAAGGAAAAGAAAATAGAGGTGAATAGGGTGGAGCCGCCACCGCAAGAATTACCGACGGTGGCGGCGGAAGCAAATAACTCTTTTAGGTCACCAAGAGCGGTGGCTCCGATACCATGTTGAAATATTGGAATAATAATATTGCTCCTTGAATTATGGAGTACATGATAGTGTATATATAGGAGAGACTCCTAACACAACTAGGAATAGAGAATAGAAACTAACTAACATACAACATCTACCACAAATAGGATTAGAAAGCTGACTAATAATGAAACACTACCATAACCAATACTACAAGAAGTACTATTAATATTATTGTCTAACATTTTCATCCCTTATATACACATGCACTTTAAAGCAAAGTACATCCGAATGTAATCTTTATCTCTAGCGTCCTTTATAAAATTGCGTGACACATTCGAATGCTTTGTGATAAGTTACAACGGTTCGCACAAAGCCACAAACTATAAAAAGAACTAGTTTTTTATCACCATAAACATTCTAATGTTTGAATAGTAAGCTTCGAATAGTATCCGAAAAGTTGTGTTGTTTATCAATCAACATGTCCATTCGAGAATTTGCCTATAAATACAAGACACGGGATATGTTTTGAGATAATAGAACTTACATACTCGTTCTAGATTACTTATATCTTAAGGAAAAATATCAAAGTAGGACTAAAATATTGAAAATATACCAAAATAATACTTTCATGTTTTTATTCTCGAAATATGACTTAAAATACATTTACATTACCAAAAAGTATAATAATGTGCACATGTACAATGCCACATTCCAACCGCATTACCATAGTGTGAAGCCCTATTTCGAAAAAAAACATGAAAGATCTATTTTGATGTTTTTCTCTATGTTTTAGTCTATTTAAGGTGATTTTTATATGTCTTACTTCTTCTGTCCTCGTGTACTTGTCCAGTTTTACAATTTTTAGTCAAATAAGATGAGATTAAAGCTTCAGTTAAATAAAAATTATAATGTATATTAGTATAAAAATGATTTTAGTAGATTTATCTTAAGAACTTTCTAAATTTTACTTTATTGTATTAATATGCAACACAAATTGAGAGTAATTAAAATTTAAGTTTTGTCCAGTTTGACTCAAAAAGTTAAACTAAACAAATACTCTAGGACGAAGGTAGTATCTTATTAAAGTAGTTTTAGAATCTTTATATCTAAAATTTGAGAGTTAGGCTTCCAGAAATACGACATTTGGCATGCTTACTAAACAATTTTTAACACCTCATCATCCATGTCAGCAAGAGCATTGGGTGGAACTTTCTTGATTAAAACCCTTATCATATATAATTACTTTATTATCTCAGAATTAAAATTACTTCCTCCGGCACTTAAAGATTACCACAATTTGACTTTTTTAGTCAAATAATTGTGGCACCATTTAACCGCAAATTATGGAAACAGTATATTTAGTTATAATATAAATTTAGTAAAATTAGGTTTATATTAAAATATAGATTTAAAATAAAAAAATTATAATAATTAATTAATTTAAAATATATTTAATTTATGGTCAAAGGGTGCAATAGTTTGACCTAAAAAATCAAATTGTGACAATCTTTTATGGAAGGAGAGACGGAGAGAGTACGTATATATATTAACTTTTAAATAAGAGAGGAAAACTTTGGCAGAAATGAACATATTTGTATGATTTTTTGTAACTAATTTAATTTTTTGTACATATTTATTTTATAATTTATAAAATAATGGGAAATGTCATGTGTAATTTCATATAAACATTTTGACTAATTTGGAAAATATTTAGACCAATAAGGAAAAGTTCATATGCAGTTACAAAAGTTTTGATTAATATTAAAAATATCTCACAAAATTATACTTATTTTTATCTAAATTTGTAAAACTACACACCATTTTCTATTTTTTACTTCTGTTTTTTAATAAATAAGAATTTATATAATGATTAGTACATATGCTTCATTACTAACCCAAAGCTTCTATTTTTGATAAACTATCATATATAAAAAATGAAAAAATATAATTATAACACATGCTAAAAAGAAGTATGAACAAAAATATTGTAATATTTCATAAAACAAATATTAGTATAATATTTTTAATTTACATGATAGATATTATATATACACATGGAGAGATATTGTCATGTGTTATTTTAAAAAAGGCATAAGGGACAATGTATAACTTTTTACTTAAAATATTTGTAGTATTATCTTTCATCTATGAATAACTTTTATTATAATTTCCAAAGTCTATGTATTTTCCATAAATGAAGCGTGTACCATTTAAGAATATAATAATTAATTTTTAACTAAGAATATAACAAATAGTTTCTAAGAGTTCCCTAAAAAATAGTATATAAGATTATTATTTGATAATAATCTTAGAAAATGGTAGTGGAATTCTGTTGCTTGCACAGAGATTGTATTTAGAGTTTTTGATTAATGCATACATGATGGTTGAAGCACACAGAATTCAATGGATGTGGTTTAATCAGGATTAAGTGAGGGAAGCAATTATGAGTGATATAAAAGAAGTTGAGACCATTGGTGATACCGAATCAGCAGCCATTGGCCATTGAATTATTCTTTCATCTACATTCACTAGGGGAATGAGGTATATGTTTATCAACTATCAAGGTGTTATGGCCATTTGTAGAATACTTGATTTTCTAGATTTGTTCATTACTATGATATGCAATCCCTAATGGACAGAAATTGCAAGATATATGACAATAAGAAAATGTAGAGCTGATCGAAGACATACTTGATTTTGAATTTATAACCTTTAAAATGAAATTGGATCATTTGAAGAAGAGTTTAAAAAAAGGACATATATTTGGTGAAGTAATTGGAGATAATGTAAAAGTTTACTATTTTATCCGGAGTTTCGAGAGGAAATTGTAGGTGCTACTACCAATTCATCAAAATTGTGGTCCAATTGTAAACTTTATACGATAACGAAGAGTATACGATTGCATTCATTTATGTCCACTTGCACAGATAAAAACACACAAGCTTTTTTTGATTAGATAATTAATCTTGAAGATGGAAATCTTGGACAAGTAATTGATGGAACAAGTGACGTTGAAGAATATGAAAAGTTAATGACAATTCCAAATGGTCTTATATTTTGCAATGACTATCAACAAAAGTCAAGGTCAAATATTGTTATTTGTTAGATTATTTTTAACCAAGTCGAAATTCACTCATGATCAGCTTTACGTTGTTGTTTCATAAGTGAACACAAAGACAAGATTAAAAATTTTTATTCAAGATGACAATGAAACCATACCAAAAATGTTATACACCGGGAGATTTTTCAAAAAAAAGTGGTAATAAAACAAATTATGTTAGGCACTTTGTCTTTTTTGTCTATAGTATTAAAAATCTATGAGAAATATATTATCTTTATTTCAAAAAAATATTGTATTAAAAAACTTCAGAATCGACAAAAAATTTGTTCAACCCCGTGCGTGGCATGAGTTAGGATACTAGTACTCCAAAATAATTAACTTTTATCTCAAAACATTTCTACGCGACTCGTTAAATCTATCAAATCTTTCTTCACGTTATTTGTATACAGATTCTCCAATGCTGCTTCGCAGTGTTATTCTCCCTCACGAGATTCTTACAATTATGAGTATTAAACTCTTTATCTCGGCTATTCACAATTAATCTTTCATTTATACATTATATCATGTCTGATTATAAAGTAGATGCAAAATTAAAAAATTACACAAAAATTAAACATTTTTATATCTCATCTTTTTTTAGAGTGAAAATTTTATAGGACTGAGGTAGTATATTTTTAATTAAAATAATGCTCTATATGATAGAAAGCGTGACAAAATATTAATGAAAAAAATATCCGGGAAACAATGAATGCAAGCAATATTTTTGAGTGATACTCCGTTTTATCATATTGCTTTCTGAAATAAATTTCATTAATGAAGCGACAAAAAAAGGCAAAAACATTTCCACATGTTCGAATCTACTTGAAGCTCTCCTTTTTCTTTTCTCATTAATACAAGTCTAAATAATTTCATTAAATTTTTCTTGTAAAATAATTTTATGTTAATATGCAATACAATTTAATTGGCAAACAAAATTCATACGGAATATCCATTTAATTTGACTTAAAAAGTCAAACTAGATAAAAGTACGCTGAGAATATATCCCAGTCACTAAAAACGTCCAAAGAAAAATGAGAATCTGAAATTAAATTCAATGCATGCTGATCGTTTTAAAAAGATTTCTCTCTTAACTTCAACCACATTTTTTTCATTTTTTAGATTTTTTTTTAAACTACGTGAAAGTCAACTCGACCGGGCTCGAGCTTGGCTCGTTCATTTTTTAAAAAATGATTCAACAATGGGAGAGACTGGGAGCATAATATACAAGAGATGGAAGATTTTCACACTATAAAATAAAAATCTACAATGGTGGTACTAGTACATCTAAGGTTTCCTCATCTTTTTTCTCTTTCTTTTTTTGACATTTACAAATATGGCAAGCAGTAGTATAGTAGGATGCCCAAGCCATATATATGGTACCTCTTCGAATGAGTTTCACACGGTGAAACGAAATGAGTTTCACATAGTGAAACGAATCTCTGTTCGAGGAATATCATATTATTGGGGCACGAAAAAAGGAAACTCATACCAGAGTTCTGAGACAGGCAGGCAGATTTCCAAAACTAACGCCTGCTCATTCGATATCAAGCAAGGGCTGTATCCTTCTTTCAACCTCAACGCTTTGGAAATTGATCTCTTCGACTATCATAGATAACGCACACTTGCAGGATTCCTCGTCCCGAAATGCCAGCGTCCACCTTCCATCCACCAAGGCTTTTGCCTTACTGACTTTAGAGGGGGAAGGGTATTTGTCCAAGAAAGGGAAGGAAGATGGACGTATTCGTAGGTGTAGCCATTTCGAATGCTTGTCATCAATTCTTGGCTGAAACAAAAGCAAAAGAAAAAAGATCACTAACTGTATTTGTAGTATTTCTGTATTTTAGATAGGGTGTTGCTAAATCCACCCCGCTTTTGGGTAAATCCACTACTTTTATATTAAATAGACAATTTTTTCCTTAAATGGTGGGCTGCATCTAAATGTACTCTTTTGTATTTTTAAGGGCAAAATTGACTATTTCCTATAAATGGAGTGGATTTAGCAATTATGGGAGAGGATAAAGCAACACCCTCTCAGATACGGAGTATTATGTTTAGTTGGGAGGAAAGTGGAGTGATGTGTGTTTTGTTGGAGGGGATGGAGTGAAGAAAGAGGGAACCGGATGAGCTTTAACCTTTCTATGATTAGCAAAAAAGAAGCTGAATGTGAAGTTGGAAATGCTTACATTGCAACCGGCCAAAGGGGCCACAACCCGCACCAAACCAAACTGAGGTTTCTGAGGTAACTCTTCTGCAAGAATGAGCCAACCAGAGATTCCTACATTTGTGGCTAAGAACCAAAAATGGCGCTCTTTTCCCCTCTCAAATGCAATTCTACAAGGCACCGCGTCCCCTGAAAAGCAAAGCACGCAGAGTGCCAAAAAATTCAGAAACCCGAGTGTGAATACAATTTTTGGTCTGTAGTTCATAATAACTTTAAAGCAAAGTGATTTGGGACTGGATTTGGTACATTTTGAAAAGTCAATGAGCTCAAGAGTAGTTGAACAGATTATTGAGGACTAAAAGTTGAACTAACACACCAACTCAAATAATAAATACGGAGTAAAATACAGCCAAAATGAAAGTTTCAAGCTAAAAGAAGAATGTGAAAACTGAAAACAAACCAAGATTTATTTCAGTGCTTGGTTTTGGGCTGAAACCAGTGACGCCGGCAGTTTTTGCACGGGAGCTTGCTGGATCATCAGTCGGAGGACGTACCGGAGGTTGTTCAGGCAAAACTTTACCAATTGAGAAGGAACATAGTTGATGAACTAATACAAACACCTGCACAGTGGTTAATGAAGATTACCAGAGCATACAGAAAATAAGACTAAAAATATTTGGCACCAGAAAACAAATACTCCCTCCGTCTCAAAGTTGACTTGGGATGATTTTTAAGAAAGCGAAATTGCCTTAGACTATCCAAAATTCCCTTTATCTAAAATTACTACTCCGTAATTCACAATGAGATCTAGAGTTTAGGAATTGAAGGGCAATTATGTGTTTTAATGTGTCTTTTACTTGCCATTTAAAGAAATGAGAAGATGATTTTAGAATGGTCTGAAAAGGAATGAAGAAATATAATTTCAGGATGGAGTATCAAATACAACCTTCACTGTCTCGCACATTCTTTCACCAGCAGCAATAGATGAATCACCAGGAAACAGGTCTGTCAAACAAATCAATTCAACAAATTATTTCAATATGATTTTCTCAATGAAACAATGTGCATTGAAAATTTCTTTTCTATGAAATTAACATTCTTGTATACCTTCAGAAGCATGCTTCTTTTGTGGCAAAAGCATGGATTTAGGATCTTTCTGAGGTGATGAGGCTTCAATTGCTGCGAGTAAAATTCTCCTTTTAAATAATAAGACGCAACCTTAGGCACATAAAAAGACTATAACCAAAAGAAGTACCTCTTTTGCATTTTCTCCACTCGTCACTGATAATTGCAATCAATAGATCAGGCCATGTTCCTCTTGTTTCTTCAAGAATACGTTGGGTGCAGCTACAGTATGAACTCTTCAGAAACAAGATTTCCCCAATGAGTTATAGACAAAAATTCAAGGTTAAGTAATTTTTACACAACTGGAGTTTATTAAAAGCCCTTTACGTCCAAGAGAAACTTCCCAAGTAAGAAACTGATGTCCATCCTCTTTGAAAAAATAACTTACCTCAAGCAATTTACGATGATTGCTATTAAAATTTGCATCACTGTGAGGAAGGAGCTGGCGCAAAAGCCAACCACCATGCCATAGTGTGTCTGCGGAGATGTTTGACCTGCAGAAAAGACTGACCAATGCATCGAGTACCTAACAACAAATGGTTCATTTTGATAGGGGGTTTTTAAACTTTAAAGTAAAGAACAGTTTAATCTTTAAAGAACAAAATCACATATTCAAGTAGAGGCTTTATTTTATTTATTTTGGAGGTGGGGTGGGGGGATACAACGGAAGAGACGAACATAACAACAACAACAACACAGGAGAATCCCACGAGAGCAAAGGACAAACATAAGAAAGCTAAAGCTATTGTACAAAGTAATACATACTTGATATCTATTAACCCGGGGACTTGTTCCAATATTTAGGTATGAACATGAGACTCCATAATGATCCTGTTCAATGAATCAAATGATAGAGAATCCAATAGAATAAAATGTTAGAGTTAAAAAAACCAGACAACTGAACAAGGTTTTATGCCTTTTTTGACAAAACACTTTTGCATTGAAGATATCAATGTACGAGTATATAACTTGATATAAGGTCAGGCTGCATGTATTAATGATAACCACGGCACATGGGTATGAAGCTGTGAACACCTTAAGGTAATTAAAAACACACGTAAAGACTAACAGTTTACCTTATTGGGAGTTACTGCTATTTAGGATTGAGGTTTGTAAACAAGTACAAAATTCAAAAATGGTATGTCAATCTTGAATTTTAGGAACATAATTCAAATAAAATTTGTGTGTGTGTGAAGAAGTATAATAAATACAACACAAATCAGATGCATTACAAATTTCCAATATTACCCAGTATTTGAAGAGTACCATAGTCAGGGGCATTTAGATTTTAGACTGAACTAGGGAAAATAGGATACCTAAACTAAACATCCTTCAGTGTATAGGATCCCTTAATTACAATGAAATAAATATGATAAACTCAAACAGCTAATAATAGTTCTGGAATTCTTAATAAAATATTACTAAATGAATGCACATGCCCGTTCAACAGACATTATACTGTACATTTATATCTTCTACCATGCTAAATCGTTAGCTAGATAATTCTAAACTTCTTTTACGAAAATAGGAACTAGATTAGATGGTCCACAATATCAATAACATACTGCTACACATTATTAGAGCAAGAAATGGCCAGAAAGAAGAGCAATGCATTAGCACCTTAAGCTTTTGCAGGTAGCTATCAAGCTCACCACTGAAGCCATATTTGGTTACATTACTTTCAGGGCAAAAAAGTTGCTCATCACCAGATTCTTCACCAACCAAAGCTTGCTGCAGTTACAGCGCCAAACAGCACATATCCTTTAAATCTTGAATAGAATGGGGATTTAAAAAAAGCATATGCAGCTACACTAATTATTATATTAGAAATTGAAGTATCTGACAGGAAAGTGCAAAATAGAGTAGGTTTTAGTAATTAAACAAATATTACAGATGAGATGCTTCTCATTGTCAAAGTACATCATTACCAAATCCACAACTCATGATCCAAAATTCCAAATATAACTAAACATGGGCTTTTGTCACTCACTTTCCTTCCAAGCAAATTCAGTGGTTAACACTTAACACTTGTGTTTCTTAGAAATTTTGCCTCTAACTGACTTAAACTGATCACTAGTATTTAAGATACCTAATTTGGATACTCTGAAGAGTGAGGAGAGGATGGTTCATCAGGGATCACTTACTGTCCTATAACACCAAAATTTTTCAAATATGCTTTATGCAAATTCAGCAACCACAAAGTTGAAAAATAGGCAGCAGGAGTGCAAGCAGGATGAAGAAGGTAGAACTTTACATTAAATGGTCCATTTCTATCTTGGATATTGCTTTCAAAGGTGATCAAAGCAGCCACATACCAGCAAGAGTTTTTTTTGTTGTTTCCGCTGTGGAAGAATTCCAAGAGCATCTAGCATTACCTCATCCAGTTCTACAAGTCAAAAGGATTTTTACGAACAAGTAGAAGTACTTCAGAAAAAAGCAACAAGTTCAGTTATACAACCTTTAGTTTGCAATAGAGTGGCCAGCACACTTAAAGAACCTGAAACCTGAACATCGTTGCCACAGATGATATAAGAAAGCAAGGCCTCCCTGCATAAAAGAGCATCAGCAGACTGCCAGACTCCAAGGCTTTTGATCAAATGCCACATGGCAGTCACTCTATCGACAAGGAATCAAGTTTTTGGTCACATGCTCATATTAACTAAATATTAATACTCTCCGTCCCATTAGAAAGTTTACACTTTCCATTTTTGTTTGTCCCATTTGTAAGTTTACACTTCCTTTTTTCCATCTATTTTAGGGCTATATCATAAAAAACCAATACCACATCCCCAAATTTAAACCACCCCTTTTCCCTTCTACTTTATACCCACACTAGCACTTTTCAATCACTATTCCCTTTTACGTTTTGGTCACATCAAAAGGTCATTGTCCTCCTCCTTAAACTCCGTAAATTTCTCTTTGTTAACTATCTAATGGGATGGAGGGAGTAAATCACAAGTTATATCATAAAAGTATAGGTTTGGAGCACACGTGGGAGTGGGAATTTGTGTGTGTGTGTGTAATTACAAAAACAAACAAAGAACAAGGTTGGATCATAAAAACAAAAATGGGAGAATGCTAGATAACAATGAACACCTTATTGAAAAATGAGAGCCACTGCAGTCCTGATGCAAGGTGCTTCCTGATTGATTTTGTGGACTAAATAAATTTGGTATCGAAACCTGTAGAAGTCTTGCATCAGGTTTTGGTGTTATGTCACCATTACCAGATTCATTACATATGTCCATCAAGCAATCACTTGACACGTATCCATTTAATTTGGGTTCAGATTTGTGCGAGAAAGTTTCTATGCGGCATAGAAGTGAAGCAGCAATAGTGTTTACTAGATCCTTGATTTTAACAATACGTAAAATGCAACAAAGTAAATACAAAGAAGTTGCAGTGCCGATTTCTGTATCCTGTATTATAGAGACAGAAACACTAAACATTAGTGTGCAACATAATAACCTTGACGGTACAGAAAGATGATTTCAATTCCTGAAGTAAATGAGAAAGCATTAACTACAGGTAAGAGATAAAGAGCTTGAATCTAGTTCTTTACGTCAACAATTTCCATCCTTAAAGAAGGAAGAACCAATGGAATTATCAAAAACTTCAGTATGTTGTCTGTAATCAACCTCCCAACATCTGGAATTCCTGCTGAAATAACATCACTGATGTAGTAGAGATTGTCTTCGATCTCATCAACAGATGGAATGACAGAAGAAGTTGCATCTGCACCCAAATTCCTGTGGCAAAAATCATGAGAAGACATCAGCTAATAAGCTAATAAGTAAACAATACTTTTCAGATTAAAACACAGTCACAGTGACTTGGAGACATTTGAAACCTACAACAACAACAACAACATTACCCCCGTGCCACAAATGCTCCCGCCCATTGCGGGGTAAGGGGTCGGATGTACAAACCCTGTGTTTAAAACATAGAACGGCTATTTTCATATGACCCAAGATGAGTGTCGAAAGTTGCATTGACTAACTGCAACTTCACTATTGAAATAAACACAAACAATTTAAAGAACCATTTTGCTTTACTCCATCAATACCTCAAAGCCAACAACAACAACCCAGTTGAATCCCACAAGAGTAGGGTCTGGGGAGTTTGTGTGTATGCAGACCTTATCCCTACTTGAAAGTAGAGAGGCTGTTTCCAAAGAGACCCCCTGCTCAGCGTCCAAAGTTGCAATACCCCAAAGCCAAAAAAATAGTAAATCTTTGAGGCATTTGAAACTAACCTATTTAAACTGATGCATTGCTCTCGGAAAAATTTGATCAAACTTAAGAAATAATCTGCATGAGGTGCACTGGTTACATATCTGTTAACAGCCTCATCGCCAACTGTGAACAAAGTACAAGGCCTTAGTTTATGAAAGTAGATGGAAATTTACATTCCCTGATGAGCTTAAGCTTAGCAAAAAACTGGAAGTCACCGTGATAAACATTCAGTGTTAAAGCTCGAACCGCAGTACGAATCATGCCTTCTTCATGAAATGCAAACCGTATTGCCTCCGCATAAAGTGGAAATGAAATTACATCATCCTAAGAGGAAACATAAGATAAATCAACCCATTTTATCATTTAGAGCCATTTAACCCTTTGAAATTCATTGGGGAGGATGCATAATGGTTTGACGAGAAAACTATTGTAATTTAAATGGATATACTGTGAATGAATGCTAAACAAATGTGAGATTCCTTTAATAAATAAATAAGTCGTGCTTGTGCGTATAGCCGTATAGTTTCTAAAACCTTATGATGCACAACTCATCATGCCATGGTCTTGGGTGTTGCCCGAACATCTGCACATCTTATTCATGCACAAATAGAATTCATATGTTGAATAAAAAGGTCATTTCAGAGAGTAGCCCCGACCCCCAAAATTTAAAAACAAAAAAATGGTTTTGCAATATTATAAAAACACATGCTAGAAATCTGACCCATTCTACAAATAACAAATGAACCAAGAAAAATCCCCTTCAAAGTTTAGATCTTTCTATATTCCTCGATTCACACACCAAAAGGTAAAACAAATTCACCATCCACCCTCTGGCCCCTTCCCCAATACAACCCCACACACAAACTACTGCTTATGTATAAGTGGCGCTATAGTAGAATAAAAGTTTACTATGGAGTATGGAGTATGAAGTTATTGATTTCTCCTGTTTTTAAAAGCAAAGCATAGAAATTTGCAATATACAAAGTGGAAAGCCTAGTAAAAACTAAACTTACGCTTTGTGTCTTGACAAGAAGAGAAATAGTGTTCTTGTTCAACCTTCCGCTTATTGCTCTATGGAATTGAAAAATATTATAAAAATGGAATGAGTAAAAGGCATCACTATATAGAAAGAATGTCGTTGACAAGATACATCATTTTGTGAAGAAAAAAATAATACTGCATCAAAGAGTTGAGCTTTAGAAAACAAACCTAAGAAAGGATATGTAGTAAGACAATAGCTCTTCATTGCGAAAGTCAAAGGAGTAGGATATAAGATAGTTAATGTGCTCATTACAAAAAATATAATCTGCAAAATTCGAAAACGTAATAAGAGGGGATTTAAAAAAATGTGCTTTCTGAAGAAGGTATATAGTTATACACTTTAAGAGAAAGGAACGAAAAGTGGCTCACATATAGACTGTTCTCTTCTTAAGTTTTGGATCATAATACTCATTGTCTGAAGCAACTGTAGCGAGACAATAACTGTTCTACTAATTTTTAAAATGCGTACAAACTCCCCCATGACCTGTTTCTCCATGAAAAACCTAAAGAAATGCATAAATCATATAAATGCAAGTTCTAAGTGATAACTGATAAATAATGAATATGAGAATATCTTCCTCCGAGAAAAGTGTTAAGACAGTACTCGAAAAAAGATACATCATGTTGATCACCATATGTTATCAGCTCTGCAATTGATCGCAGTGCCTCGATCACAAAATCCTTCAACATTAAAGCATAAGAACAGAGAGGAATGAGGATGCTTGAATGAGAGTAGTTTCCAGTGGGTTTGGCATAGAAACACAAGGAAAGGAGCTTGAGAAAAAAGGAAATCACCTTATTGACTTCATTGACAGTTTGAACTTTGATCAATTGATCCGTGAGATATCTGTAAAAGAGAAGGAAAACATTGTGAATTCTAGAGGAAACACAGCGGAGAGATTGTATAAAAAAATTTGATAAATCAGTTAAAATTCTGAAGAAAAAAAGCACAAAGAGGTCTGCCTAGTTCAAGAGATCAAGAACATCTCACCCACACCCCTCACACACACACACACACACTAAGGCCTTGTGAGTTGTGGTAACAATTTTACCACCAATAATGCTGTCAATAGATCAATTTATTTTTTCCAATTTGGTGTGTAAGTAAAAAGTAGGCTCAAAACTTCCATGTACACGACCTGAAGCGTAAAAAAATACGGAGTATATCTTTGCATATGTTTCTTCGTCTTTGCAGTTATATTGAGAATCTAAGCATCTACCAGTAAGTTCTAGTACAAAATAAAGAATACTGGTTTGCTGTAGAGTGTCTTCGTTTGGTGAAAAGAAGAATCTTGAAGTTTTGTATACTGTCATAAGTTGGCCTTCTATATTGACTTTGGAAGCGTCATCATACTGCTAACAAATTAGTGGATGTTCCAAATTTGATTTTAAGCATGACAAGTCACAGACTCTGTTTTGCATTGTCCTAGACCAAAAAACGTGTTAAAAAAATCATAAAAATAAAAGTTCACATTTTGATCAAACCATATCTTGGAAACTGCCATATAAGGAAGATGACTCAACAGTCTTTGCAATATCTCTTCACCAGAACCTCTTTGATACCAGGAAAACTTAAAAGAACTCAACCTTTTGGAGTTGATAATAAAAAAAAAAGATGACATTAATGCCTTCGGATTTTTCATCGAGAAAAATGAAGAAATAGAGAAAGAACTTTATGCACAAATAACTAAATAAGAATGACCATTGTACTACAGGAGAATGAAAACATTCTCCCCCAACTGGTCAACTGTATATGTTTCCTAAATATCCGAATGTGTATATGTACAAGTTCAAGTTTGAAGTTTGATCCGAATTCAAAGAAAGAGCAGACAGTAAAGGTTTAAAAGCAGAACGTTGATTGGGTGTCAACAGCCCACACACCATTGAAATCGCAAAATTGGCGTCGAATTACTTCAATAGTTCCCACAATCAGAGATAGGACTAAAAAACAAGAAAATTTGAAAATTGAAAAAAGACCATAGAAGAAGTACCTGAGCTCGTCCAAAGAGAAACGATTTCTGGATCTCCAGAAGGAAGACCACATGGCTCTCCGAGCAGATAGCTCCCTATTTCAGGCGATCGGAGCTTCATTCATTCATTCTCTCCCACTAGTCACAGTGATGGAGAACGATCGACCAGGCTTCCCGCTCGAATCCCCCGCCCCTGCTCCGTCGGCCGGGCTGAGAGTGACAAAAGCTTCCCCGACTTCAAAATGTCGGTGCGGTGGCGAGACGGATGGGCAGAGAAGTCGCCGGAGGGAACCAGGAGGCGGTGGTGTTGCGTGACGTCGAGATGTGCTGTGGTTTCAGGAGGCGTGATACATTTGATTGGATGCAGATGCGTTGTTCGGTTACACAGATTCATATCATTACTCTATTTATTATCATCAACAATGGCTATTTAATACTCCTCCTCCGCATATAAATTGGATTATTAAGCCATTGTCCTCGTGTATTACAATAATTATAATTACATTAAATTGGTAAAGAATTTGAAAGTTCAAAAAAATAAATGAAAACAAAACTTTTTACACCCTAAAAAGGTTCAACATTTTCTTTTTTAACTTAATTTTTAATATTTCTATCAATTCAAGTGTGAAATCTTAATTCGAGACGAAATATTATACATCCAAAATCTAAAGATATATGTGTGTATTTACTTATCATAAAATGCTCATTTCATACATTTTCTTTTTTTGTAAATATAGTAGAAGTTTAGAATATGCGTGTTAGGAAATTGTTACATGCACATAGTGCTAATTTGGTTTTATCTCCGCTTTCTCTATCATATAGGCAATTCTTTTAGTCGAGTGGCTTGTGTATCCTTCAAATAGTTTTTAAGATTGTCATTCACACAATTACAATAAATTGTCGAATCATTAAAGCATGCATACACACCGTTGAAGTTTAATTTAATCTAACGATAATATCGTGGTGGTCATATATGAAGAATATATAAATATGAGAACTAATAAAAACATGATGCATGAGTAAAAATTTACAAATCAAATTTGGGAAACTAGACTTAGATCTCTTCTCCAAGAATAGAAAGCCTTCATTTACAATAAATAAGTGAATTAGAATGGCATAAAAGTGATGGGTGTAATTGTCACTCATTTTCTTCTATGATATGAGTGTGCGTCCCACATATGTGGTGTGTGTAAGGGAGTCGGTGGGTCAGATCCTCACATTATCCAAAGGGCCACCCCAGATATTAAATGATTAAAAAATGGACAAGACATATTTGGTTTAATAAATAAATATACATTGGAGCGATCTATTGTGCCCATTACATGATATCCTCAATCTTACAATGGATTTATAGGAGTTCGCAACCTTGCAATAAACGTCTCATCCTATAGCTTAGTTAAATCGTTGAACTTAGTTTGGTACGAGTCATCTTGGGTGTCCACTTGAAACTTTTTTGTATATGCTTTGGGCTCATTCTTCATGTTATACATATTTGGTATGTTATCCTTTGATTTTACTAAGTCAACAATGATTAACCAACGTAATAGCAATGACTATGTCGATCAATCTTTCTTCAACGACCAAATCGTGAAGATCACAAAGTGATCTCAAATCCATTATTGAAGAGAGTAAGACGTGAAAGTCACATCATGGATCAACATAAACGAAGTCAGCTCAGTCTTTACAACTGTAATAGTGTTGTAATGAAACACATCTCCATCGGTTGTTATGCCTTCAGAGAGACCAAGACAACATCTTTTCCTATATATTGTCACCCAACGATGACGAGGAATCAGAACTTGCTTTTTATATGTTGAATCCCTAGTGCAGTGGTGGCTCTTCAATTTCGCAAGAGTTGAGCAAGTGGGGTTTAGGTCATGATGAATATTGTGTATAAGACGTGTGGAAGAACACTTCACAAAGTAAAAAATGACTTAACAGAAGGCTAGGCTAGGAAGGCACCATCATCCATTGTGTGCGGTAGTAGATCTCATCTCTGAGGCATCGCTAACAACAGAGCATGAAATAGTGGAAATAGAACCATAGCATTGCGTAGTTCAAATATAACAACTTGATATAGCTCTGGTTAAGTGTTAGCCTCTTCATGTGGTGCAATCGTGCTTGAAGTGTGTCCACCCCTCATGGGTATGATGGACTTATAGATGACACTTAAGGCTTAAATACACTAAAGACCACCGACGATTCAACTGCTAATGCAGCACTCCAACTCGTGTAACCTGAACCAATGATTTAGCGTGTCGAATTGTCACTAAGTTAGATCAAAAAGCTCATAGAATTAGCATTTAAAAAAGAGTAAACTTAATAAATAATTCTTTATAATGTAAATTCCATAATTGGTCCTTTATAACAAGAAGGTTTTCCTATTTAGTCCTCTATTATCAAATATTACCTCAGTGATCATTCTTTTATGAGTATCTTTCCACAAATAGTCCTTTTTTATCTTCTATCATGCTGGTGTTAATTTGAAGGCAAAAAGTGTAATTTCACAATGATAATATATCTTTTTTTCATACACAATTCCAAAGGTTGTTCCGTTTCCGTCGCTTGTGGATCGGATCACGGTCGCTTTCTAGTACAACCATAGTCTACAAATGTGGTCTTTCGTCGGAATCCTAGCCCACAATTATAGTCATTATTTTTGTGTTATCCGTTTAACCAAAATCAGAACACGACATTAGACATAATGTTAATGTCAAATTATATTTTTAGTTTTTAAATTAATACCAACCTGGCAGAAGATCAAAATAAAGATCATTTATGGAAAGACACCCTTAAAAAAAGGACTACATGTGTAATATTTGATAATATGAGACTAAATATGAAACCCCCTATTATAAATAACTAATTATGGAATTTACTCTTCTTTATAACATAAAATTTTTCATATATAGTCCTCAAACCTTAGATATTATGTATGTTATCCTCAATATTTGATAACTTCGGAAAAAGGAAGGGTCGGTCTTATGATGACTTCGGAGTATTTCATACTTCCGCCGTCCTAGTATATTTGTCTAGTTTGACTTTTTTCGAGTCAAACTAAACAAAATCTTAATTTGTGTTGCATATTGATACAATAATTTAAATATTTAATAGTACTCAGCAAAATAAATCTATTGAAATAGTTTTCATACTAAAATATTTTACCATTTTTATTTAATTGAGATCCAAAATTTGTTCAGTTTGAGTTAAAAAAGTCAAATTGGATGAATACACTGGGAACGAAATAGTAATTAATAATTTGACCTAAATACTACTCCCTCCATCCACAAATAAACTTTTCATTGCGCGTTATGATGTTTGACTGAAATTATTTTCAAATAATTTTATATGAAAAATGGTGTAAAATTTAAAAATTAAAATTACATATCAAAAAACTATATCAAAAGATCTACAAAACTAGAGGTGACATAACTATGTTATTTTATCAAATGAATGACGAAAATAAGCTAACAAAGTAAATAAAATTTGATTCTATGAATAGTAAAATGGAAGTTTATTTGTAGATGGAGAGAGTATCTTTCTCATATAATAAAAGGACTATTTATGAATGACCCGGTTCAATGGCCACTGAATTACAGTGGCCACAGAAGTCACTGCTCCCTACGGAGCTCCATTCATAAAATTGATGATTCATACCCCTCTAACCCCTGGTAAACCCCCCCCCCCCCCCCCCCCCCCCCNAATCACCCCACCTAAGTCAATTGCACCTCGTAAATATAAAGTCAAAACTTTTAACTTTAAAGTCAATTATACTTACGAGGTGCAATTGATGCAGGTGGAGTGATTAGTTTGGGTTGGGACTTGGCGGGAGAGTTTACCGGGGAGTTAGAGAGGATAGGAATCATTAATTTTATGAGCAAAACTCCGTAGGAGGACAGTGACTTCCGTGGCCACTGAAATCCAGTGGCCATGGAACCAGGCCGATTTAGGAAATCATTCTCAAATATAAATAACCATGAAATTTTCAAAATTGAAGGTTATACATTTATACTGGTTTACTCCATATTAAATACCCCTGTTATGGAGGAGTACTCTCGTGGAGTCCAACTAGGTTGTAATTGTTTGTTATGAAAAGCTATTTATAGAATGGGGAAGGTTCCCATGACATTGGTTCCCATGATGTCATGGGATGACCCGGGAGCGCTCCGGTGCTCCGTTCATAAAATTGACGATTCCTATCCCTCCTAACCCCCCGGTAAACCCCCCTCCCCCACACCCCCCCACCCGCCCCGAACACACCCCCACCCCCTTCAATTGCACTCCACAAGTCGATTTTGACTTTGGAGTCAAATTTTGACTACAAAGTCAAAATCGACTTGTGAGGAGCAATTGAAGGGGGTGGGGGGGTTTGTTCGGGTCGGGGCAGGGTGGGGGGTTTACCGGGAGTTAGGAGGGATAGAAACTGTCAAATTTACGAACGGAGCACTGGAGCGTCCCCGGGTCATCTCATGACATTGGTTCCCAATGTCATGGGAACCAAGGGGTTATAGAATTTACTCGAAAAAACAGTGTTGCATTTATAAAAAGGATCTCAAGTTCGAACTCACAATTGACTCGACAACAAGAATTACTTAAACAAAACAAAAAACACCCCTTTTAGAGATGTCACACCAGCCATACCCATTCTTCTTGTCTTCCATAAAAACATGATAAATTGTAATCATAATGATAATAATAACATAATGCTAAAAAATTGTGGCGGTGGAAAGGCCCATGCGGGGGGGATTTGATGTGGGAACCTCTCCCACACCCTTTCAGTCCTCATCAGAATAGTTGAACTTAATGGAGTGGGAATGAAGGTCAATCTGCCCTCCCCTGTAACTGCCTCTTTTTTTCTTGGTCTTTTCATGCCGAAAGTCCCTGCAAGCAACCCCATGTTCGAAAACACGCAATTCAGCTAAGCATGAGTACAGTTTTCTATGGTTGATATTTATGCAGAGGTGATAGATATGGACAGTTTTTTTTGAAAGAAGCAATCCTCCCCACCCCTCCGATATCCCTTAACCAAACAAGCCCTTGGGCAGCAGCTCCAACCGAGTTGTTCTATATAAACAGGGCAATACTCTCAAATAGTTTTTTTTTTCAGGATGAAAACAAACATAGGAATTGACTTTTTGGCTTTTTCATGGAAATGAAATGGTCGCTGATTAAACGTACCTTCCTTTGACCTGTCCGAGAACTTCCTGAGCTTTGGCACCATAGCCAGAGTCTGCTCCATCCTGAGAAAAGCAAATGTTTCAAGAAAATCAATTTTCTACATTGTCACACGCAGGGTATATATATATAACCAACAGAACAGGGAATTATTTATACCTTAGCCCAATAAGAATTATCACGAAGCCTGTCATCAACAAATTCCACTTCATCGGCTTTCACTCTTTGGAACGCATTTACACTTTTAGGCTGCAGTAACAAGTATCAATTTTCTTAGATACAAATTCTTCTTTGCAGGTCAGAAATCAAAGAAGAGAGTCAAACATGAAAAAAAATGCCAAATGAAATTGTATCCCATACACAGTTGGCATTTCAATTTCTAAGCCAAATCAATGCTGATACTATGATGTACAAGGATCTTTGCTACAATAATTTCAGAATAAGTGCAATAGATAGAGAAATACACATTGTAATTTGGTGCAGTTGTGCTTATTTTTGGCTAAATGGAATATAGAAACAAGTTCTGTTTTAGTGCTCAAAACAATGAGTGCTAAAGATATTTGAGAAACACTTCATGCATAAACTATTAGAATTTGGTAGAGGAGGAATCCTCTCAAGTCCTACCAGTGCTTCTTCAATTCTTAATGGACTCAAACTTGTCAAGATGCTTTTTAGGTGAGTCTGAAACTACATATTTTGATGTACATTGTATACATTGTTTTTTTATTTCTTTTTCAGCATGTGAATCTGCTGAAGACAGAGAGAGACCTAGAATGCTTGAAGTCACAAGTGTTTGCATGAAGTCCCCTTGAGAGGATTCCTCCTCAATATCAATGAAGCGTTTGCATGTCTACTTCCAATAGCCCCATTTTATTACCATAGGCTTTAACTGGTCAAGAAGTTGTTGCTAGAAGCAAGATTAAAATTATTCTTAAGAAGGCTATAAATGTAAATAGATAAATGTCTTTATTTTAAAAACTAGCATTAAAGAGACAAGGATACAGGGGAAAACAACAAATGGTGAAACAAATACAAGTCAAATAATGATTTTCAAAATAACAAAGTGGTGGATGCGAGCACAACTGGTTAAAAAATAATAACGATAAACTTCAAAACAAAAGTTATAAAACATCAAATAAAATGACCTTTCAACCCAATTCCTAAAGATGCAAAGAATAATATGGGGCAAAAAAAGGTATCTTCTAACCCTTGCAAGGAGTTAAATAAGGCTCTAAAAGCAAGAGGTGATATTGCATGAAAATGGCACATATACATTTCAAGCTTTGGGTCAATACTAAACTTCACAATTTGGGTAGATGGATGGAAAGCAATGTGTCACTGTGGCAGTCTAAGAGGTGTCTATAGCCAAGTAGGCAACCATCACAAGCTGAGATTTTGATTGGGAACTCAACTAATGATGGGGAAATGTTGCTGCATGGAGGCTTCTATGATGATGAGCCTTTTAGTGTTGAGTTGCAACAATGCTTTTATTCAGGTGGCTGTGTTAGTTTTACAACATGAAAAATGCAGGATGATTGAACAGCAAACCCTTTGTCCCAGGAAAAAAGCAACAGCTTTGAATTGAAAATGTCTAGGTTTGAAAATGAGGATCATGGAACATGTTGAAATTGACTCACAAGCTAAATGTATCAAGGGCTTTAATAAGAAAAAAACATACCTCGGAAGAACCATTTCTTTGTTTTTTTGTGGACTTCTCTTGGGAAGAGTTTTTCAGCTCATTCACAGAGTTGTCATTTGGGACTTCACTACTTTGTTTTTTATCATCATCAAGACTAACATTGTCTGTCTGCTTGTTATTTCCTAGTCCTCCATGTCCATTACTGCTAGTGAATGTATCTGTTTTACCTTTTTGCTTTATGTTCTTTGCATCTTTGACTTCTTCCATCTTTCTTCGTTTAGTTTCTTCAATATGCTCTTCTTCAAGTTGCTTGTTCTCTTTTTCTTCAGAACCTTTTCTTTTTCTTTTCTTCGAATCCTTAACATGAGTATCACCATTTTCTACTGTCTGAGAAGCTCTTTTGTCATTTGCTATCACAGGATTCTCTTTAACAGAGTCATTTGCACAAGTTTCAATATCTAGCTTGCTTGACTTGTTTTTTTTCTTTTTGTCCTTTTTAGCTGCATCCTCTTCAACAATTTTATCACAACTTTGAGCTGCCAAATATTCTAAAGACTCTTGCTTTCCTTCAGATGCTAGAGTTAAATGGCCTTCATTGCCTGCGAATGATTCAGATGTTAATACCTTTTAATTTTTGGTTTCTTGTCTTTCAGATTTTCAATGTTGGTTATCTGAATGTCACAAACTGATCCAGGAACAACCTCTAATGGTGCCCCTGATTTTGTATTGGCTAGGTCTAAAGATTAAGATATCTTTCCACTTCCCTTACGTTTAGATTTAACATTTGAAGCATTAAGTTTGTAACTTATGATTGTTTCATTAGCATCAGATTTAAAATGTCCATTACCATTGTCAGTTTTGTAGGCCATGGTGTTTTCTTTACCTTCGCTATGCTTCTTCTTTTTCTTAGAAATAGTGTCTCCAGGGTTATTAGCTCTGTCACCATCTTGATCTCACACATAAATACTAGAAAGGTAAGTCAATGAAATCTAAATACACTTACAAAGTAACATAGTATTGCATTTTTGTAAGATGGAATTTAAACTGGCATGTTATAAATATAAGGGTAGAAAAACATTCAATAAAGAATATAATTTGCAAAGAATACCTTGTTCCTTGTGGCCTTCAGATTTTGTTTGGGCACCATTCCTGCGTTTATATAAGCATGTGTAACAATAGTAGATAAATTAAAATAAAAATTTACATTTATCATTTATCCTCAGAAGTAGAATGAATGAGAAATTCTTTCTTGAAAAACATGTCACTGGACCTATATTAGCATAATTAAGTCAACTTCTTATTGCATTACTACTGAAAATGTCATACTGAGATTATGTCATTTACCCGTTTAGTGAAGCATGCATATCCAGAATCACATCAAGAATTACAGCAGGAAAGTTAGGTTATTTTTATCAGTAAAAATGAAACATGTCAAAGTAATGTTTGAAGTTATTTATGCCACCTATATGGAGATTGAGATTGAAATATTATCACTGCACTCAATTACAATTCTCAGCTTACCAAGTATCTAGATATTTGCAAAACACCTCTTCCAAATCGCATGAACTATTCTTCCAACAATCATCCTGCAAAAGAAGTAGGCTCTTTTATTGTAAACCACACAAAGAAAACTATGCTTCGACTGGGTGCCAGGGATATTCCTTCAGAATCTTCAAATACTATGCATTTAGGTTGGAGTAAAAGCTTATGACTAGTGCTTGCATTGCATTGCATTGCAGCAAAAAATATCTAAAAGTGATCTTCCAGTGAAAAAAAGCAAACTGCATTTTTGGTCCATTCTGATGCATGTTTGCTCCATTGACCATTGAGATGCACTTTTCGCGGTGGTAGAAAAATTTCACTCATTTTTTGACTTTTTCTTTTGCATTTCTCCTAGATATTCTCTTAATCATAGCCTTAAGATTGGAATTTCAGTGCACCATATCAATTCCTATTTTTCATGGGAAGAACACTTTTTTTAGCGAAAGTCTTTATATTTATACATGTGTAAGTATGTCTACATGCGTATACATAATACACACACACACACATATACATAATTACATAATGTATTCCCTTGGCACCAATCAAAATACATATTGGAGTTTCTATATTTAAAAATTGAAGGAACCGCCATGAGATGAGCTTCGAATGATATTCATTCAGTTGCAGTTTAGTAATTTCCATCTCTTGTGCATCTACAAAATAGTCATCCTTCAATTTAAAAAAAAAAACAAACAATGAAAAACGAGAAAAGTGGACCTGAATCTGAGCTTCCTTAAGAAGGCGCTTGATGGTTTTGGAGAAGCCGTTGCGATGGAGAAACTGGATGACAGAGTGGAGAAGAAGAGGCTTCTGCTGTGCGGTGAGTTGGTCCGCCATTGACGAGCTCGGTTGGTGCTTCTGCTGCAATGAAAGAAGGACCTGCCGAGGTTTCAAGGCGAGAAGACCCAATAAATGTGGGCTAGGGTTACGATTGCTCGTTCCGGTGTTAGCCACTTCGCCAAGCAGGGGGGTTATGGGGTTGGTTTGCAGGCTGGCGGCAGTCAGCTGAGAGGCTCCCAATTCCTAAACCCTTAATCAGCTTCTTGTAATAAGCTCTTCGTCCCAAATTTTGTCCAGTTTTTCTCTTTCTCTTGAAAATCAATTATGAGTTATTTTTAATTTATAAGTCAGTTAATGACATATTTATATGTGTTTATAAGCTGACTTATAAATTGTTTATAAATTGGAAAAAATAAGTAAGTCTTAACTACTTATTTTAAAGTCAATTTTTTCATTTCTCCATTCTTACTAGATTATTTGCAAATTGTTTCTCACCATTTATGAATATTTTTCCAAGTCACTTATCTGTCATTTTAGTTATTTTACTTCGATTAAATAATATTTGACTTATAAATAACTTATAAGTTAAAAATTAATTATCAGCAATGAGCCAATAAATACCCGCACAGAAAAACACCTCATACACGAGGATAAAGTGACCATATGTAGTAAGGTTAAGGGTGGGCATAAAAACCGTTCCAATTGACCCTTTCCAAAATGTTCCAAAATCATTTTGAAATTATACTCTTTGAGATTCATTTTTTTATTTCAAACTCATCATGTCCTAATTCTAAATAGGACATCACATTGACAATATAAAAGTGTGCTATTTTATCCCGTTTGCCCCATTGTATATGCTCTAATAATATAATTATATAAATATATATAAACATATAAACACAAATACAGTTAATATCTTGATATTTAATGTTGGGCTCAAAATATATATTGAACACTCCCGAGTAGGTTATACTGAATTAGTATTTGGCCAAAACCTAACATTCCTCCTTCGATACTTTGTTAGTTGTGCAACACTCCCTCTTAATTAATTCTGTTTTATTCTTTGCATGTTGCCTTATTATGTACTCCGGGGTATGTTGTTTTAAGACATTTTTATAAAGTACTCCATTTTATTTTCATTTTTCATAATTTTGATGCAAGTATAAAAATGAGTTTCATCTCGATCCTTTTGTATATTTTATCTCTAATTCCCAACAAGGACAAAGTAGGACAAACTAAATCGGCCCTGTTTTGTCACGATTCCAAAAATTATGGGACAAAGTAAGATAGGCTTGTGGTTCGAACTGCTCGAACCTATTTGAATATAACAGGACAAGACACGAGATAGTATGAAACTCGAGTTGTCTCGTCCCGTGCCCACCTCTATGTAGGGCTATTCATTCAGATGTATCTAATCCAATCTGTTCTAATTTTTAAGATACTCAAAGTTTTCAAATAAACAAAATCTATTCCATGTCCGATTTGGAAATCTCCGGACATTCAGTTTGTGGATATTCAAAATTTCAGATCGTACCATTGGAATATCCAAAATATATTTTTATTTTTTGGATGATTATTTTTTCTAATGATTCTAATAATATATTTGGGATGAATTTTTATTTATAAATAGTGGAGCACAAAATTAGATTTAAATTTAAAATCAAGAGTATTTTAGATATTATATTACCTTTAAAGTTTTATTTTAAGTCATAGTTTTGTAAATGTCTAGAAAAAGAATATCGTCATATATAATGAACAAACAAAGCATGATGAAAATTACTAAGGCACTATTTGGTATACATAATTCAAAATATAAAATTAAAATATGGAGCAACAATGCCAATTCTGCTGTTTGGTAACACAAAAATATGTGAATTTGGAATTGGTAATGTCAAAACTAAATTAGAATTAGAGAATTCAATTTGATCCAAGTCAATTCTATAGAATTTCAATTTCCAATTAAATTCCAATTCTATCAATTTCATGTACCAAACTGGTCTTAAGAGTACAAAACTTTAAAGAATTGTCATGAAAAAAAATGAATTGAACTTAGGTTGTGCGAGTTTGGTTTTTAGGAGGAGGACACCCCACCCTATCATCACCATAATCTAGGTCATCTCACCCCCTCACCTTCACCTTCCCTACCTACGGAACTCTTCCCCCACCCACGACCCAGATGCAAAGTGCACTCAACACCCCCTCATCCACCCTCCCACTCACTGGCCAAATGGAAAACCCACCCACGGTGTAGTTACAAACCTCACCAAGTCACTAGATCAATCTAGTCTCCCCACTCCCAACGGCCTACTATAACCTCGTCCCACTCTATGATCACTTGTGCCCGGGTCGAGATCTTTGTTGGGGAAATTAACGATAACTTGGATGAATTGAGAGTTGTGTAAACACTTTCAGATTGAATATTTTGCTTGTTCATTCCAAAATTCAATCGGATAAAACTCGAAAGTATCAAGAACGAATATAAGAATTGCTGTGAAAAAACCGAACTTAATTCGACCATGCCCAACGGGATTTTATAGACTAGGGGTGAGAAGAAGAAGACACCATTCGCGGCTATTACCCAAAGCACGCAATTCTTCGCGCGGAAGTTCTTCTTCAAAATTCGGTGCTATCCATCAGAAGTTTTCCTTTAAAGAAAATTCGAAAATTAAAATTCCAATTGAATTTTTTAACATAGCACCGAGCCCAAAATAAAAAAATTCCACCCCAGCCAGGGGCTCTGTCCCTTGGACCCCGCAGGGGCTGCCGCCCCTTGAACCCTGCTCGGGGGCGCTGCCCCCTTGGAACCCTTGATGTAACGGGATTTTTATCGTAACAAACTCAATGAAGCGTGCACTCCGCACCACCAAACTTCGTTGATGATTATTAGGATACCATTGGTCATAGTTTTTCCAATTACACTAAAATATATAACAATCTCTCACCCAAAACAAATTCTTAACCTCAACACCAAAACCACTATCTCCCCACTACCCCAGCTACCGTAGTGTCCTAAACGATCCAAATTGGTATACGAAAATGTATGAGGAATTTAATGTCTTGATTAAAAAGAACACATTACATTTAGTACCCCTAACTAAAATGATATATATCTCGTAAATGGCTTTATCGATACAAACATGGCCTTACATGTGAATTGTCCAGGTACAAAGCAAGGTGGGCGGTCCGAGGATTCTATCACCGTTTTGGAGTGGATTATGATGAGACCTTGTAACACCCCCGACCCACATAACCTGAATGATGGGACCAGCGGATCGTGTTATAACTAAATTGGCATCCAAACACATCATATTTTTAGAACACTTTAAAACATTTAATTCAAAATATTATTTAAAACATTTATCAAAGTAAACAAAATAATGTAGAACTTAAGTACTTAAATCAAAACACAATTATGGGTTCTTTCTTGGAAAACATAATAAATTCATATTGTAATATTCAATAATTAAATTCCTTAGTCCTGCATCTATCCATCTCATCACCCTTGATGCCCTCCAAGATTGGCTCCATATTCATTATTCATATTACCTACATGTAGAAAATAAAACAAACTACACGCTCAGCTATCACGGTAGTGAGAGATTCTAACAGTAGAAGTCACACATAAGGTTATTTCAACATATATAATCATTCAGAGTATTCCATGTACAAGTTATATCACATTGAACATTAAATGATATCAACAATATCAACAATTCACATAATATGTTACTTACCTTGGCTATTCAACTACATACGTTATTAACTCCACTTTTAGGTTCTTACAATATCTCATATCTAACACTTGCTCATAACCTATTATAGGCTAATGTTATTTTAACAACAAGCACAAGCACAACGTATTACAACACAAATTTACCAACAAAGAAGTTCTCTGCTGGGTGGGTGATACCTCTGTCTATTTCGGAACGACAATAAGTGGATCCGATACGTACGTTTTAACCCGCAACCATCAGATATCAAATCCACAAGGCTTATTCTAATTATTGACAATTATACTTACAATCACATAAAGGTAGTCCTACAGTTTCTTTCGGAATGACAGTAAGTGGATCCGGTACGTACGTTTTAACCTGCAACTATCAGATATCAGATCCACAAGGCTTATTCTATTTATTGACAGTTATACTCACAATCACATAAAGGTAGTTCTACAGTTTCTCTAGGTAGCCTAATCATTTTCATTTATTTACAACATCTTTACATATTCAGGTTTGTACCAACAACATCTCAACTTATTATATTCGTTCAAGGCATATCAAGATTATATTTAAAATATATTAAGAGGATTACAACAATGAGATAATCATCATATAGTACGAATATCGGCCTAATGTTGGGTATAAACACTACCCAATCACCTGTCATGCAACATGTAACACCCGCCTTCAGTGGACCCGGTTCACCCGTGACCCAACGGACCGGTAGGGTTACTTGGGCGGTCTGAAAACCATCCGTAGAGAAAAGAACTTTAATGTCCATTTATTTTGAAAAACGGTTGGGTTTAATTGGTGAAATAAATGCTAGGGAATTAATCCCAAAACGTGTGTGATATATATGCAGAGTAAAAGCGGAAATAAATAAATAAGTCCAAAATAAGTAAAACGACATATGGTGGGTTCATGCCCAAATGATTAATTAATTAAATGATTATAATTATTAGACTCGTCCGTGCACCGCCCATCTTCTCATCATCACTGTCCTCCAGGGTTAGTACATGTACCGTCATGTCTACCTGCGTATAGCAAAAACAACTACACGCTCAGCAAAAGCTGAGGAGTGAATCTAACAAAAGAACATGAAGTAATAACCCATATGATTATACACATATTAATACATGTACTTTAACGTACGGAAAACCGCATGTTTACTAACTGATTAATTAGCACTTGATGTGATATTATTACACATAACAAAATGAATAATAACCACATTGAATGTTGATGTGACGTGGAACATACATGATGATGACGACCACATTGAATGTTGACATGACATGGAACACACATGATGACGATATGACTTGATGCATGACTTAGACTATCAGGGACACCCCTGGCTTAGTCTCACTTGACAGGATCACCCGTGCACTCCGGTAATGAGCCGGGCTTGACAGAAATGTCGCAAGTGAACTATCAAAACTGGGTAGTAGTCGTAACCTGACTACTATGTACGTACACAAAGCCCACCTGATGAAAACCCGTTGGATCCCAAAGGTTCCTGGACGGGCCCACTGTAGTAGGCGCACGAAAACCTGACCTCCCTACAGCGGTATGCACATGATGATGATCCTA